ATTGTCGTCGCATGATCAGCTAAAGTAGTGAAGATCTCTATAGGCCAATATCCTACCGGTACATACTGTATATATTCAGGTCCTCAACTCAGCCACCAGTTTCCATTCTCGAGATCCTATATTTTCTATTATCAAAAAGCTGATGATATAATAACAGAATTTTTAATCTATCATTTAAATAATAAAGTAAAATACATAAAAATGAAAAGAAAAATGAACCTTCCATACGAGAATCGTGATCTCGAACTGACTACCTCATATGCTAGATATAGGAGAAATAGCGCCTCCTAGGACAATCTCGTTGCTGATTTATATAAAACCAGGTTTGCGAAGGTTAGAGGTAGTAGCGTATGTGTCACTCTGTAAAATATCTATACTATCGGTTACATATTAGAATGCAAAAACCAGTATGGTAAGCTGAGAAAATATTGAAACTATTGCTTGATATTACGATAACTATATAAAATCATGTTAATTTAGTAAAATCAAAAAATCCAGTAAAAAAATATAGTTTTGTTATAAGCCATAAATAGATTAGTGTTTTGAAATTGAACATAAAAAAAGCAAAAAAGAAAAAACAAATTGAAAAGAAAAAAGAAGCAAAACATAAGTAAGGTATAAGCAAAAGAAAAGTAAATGTACGTACAATTTAGTTTAAACTTTAAAGTTATATAGTGTTTTTATTCATAATTTGAATCAAACTTGTCTTCACTAAATAAAACATTGAATTTCACTATATATCAAGCTCATGGATTTTTTCTTATAAATTTATAAATATTCAACATCTAGGTTTTGTCTATCATAAACTATATTATGACGCAGATAACATTATTTAATAAACTAAAAAGTTGATTCCAAAAAATAGATAAGTAATTGAACGATCATCCGGTTACTCATAAGTTTATTTAAGTTCATTTTCTTCTTTAAAAGAAAAGTAAAATATCAACATCAAATTTTCATTCACCTAATGATCAGATACATTGTCTAGGTCCACAACATAGTAAGTTTATGTGTGGTGAGTATCTTTATCTCTATGTTCATATTTTTTTTAGTTTTATTTTCATTTGGCAAATACTTTTTTTAATGTAAGGAATATTTGTTTTTATTTTTTTACTATATTTTTAACTCACGGTTCACCGTGAGACAAGTTGTTTTTTTTTTTTTTTGGAATTTACTAATTTTGTTAAAGTTTGTTTAATAATTATTAAAATTGCATAATACCAATCATCATTAAATCAGTTTGATTCCACATGTCTTGTATTGGTGTTGTTATAAAAATAGTAAAATATATACAAACCCGTATTGAAGTACCAGATTTATAATTTTTCAAATTTTAATAATATCGATTCAAACATGTCCCATCATACAACCCGTCATGTAATATAACCCATATGTGTTATTTTAAACTTATAATATTTTTAAATATTAAAAGTTTAGACCTTTTCTTAAGTTTAGATATATCAATTTTAATATTTAAGATTCTTAAATTTTTGTATAGATGGTGAAATTAAAAATTTCAACATAAAAACCGCACTAAAACAAATACAAATTTTACATTTTCATAATTATTAGGAGGATTTTCAAAAATAATTATTTTACAAAATTGATTTTTTTTGGCGGGAAAATCTGAATTTTCCATTTTATTGACTTATTAATTTTTAACTATGGGTAATATGATCATTAAAAATTAAGAGTTGAAAATGGCCCAAAAAGGTATCTTTGCAAAAGGCTATCAAAGAAAGAGAATTAAGTAAAATTTGTATAACTATTAAGGGAACCTTCCTGCTCATTCAGATTTATATTCATTTTGATCATACATAATAAAATTAAATTAAAAAGTTCTGAATATTGAAACTTTTAAACGGTTCAAATGTTATAAATATTTAAACTTTATAGAATGAATAAAATATTTAAAATATTTCAACTCTATAAAATTCTTAGTATTATCAATATTATAACTCTAAAATTTTAACCATGAGTTTAATTTTTGGTCATAAATTGTGTTATGTGAAATACCTTTGCAAGCAATCATTTCAATTTTGTTTTGTTTTATAGAGAATGATTCAGGGTCATATAATATATAAGATCAAAATGAATTCAAATCCAAATGAGTATAAAGCTTCATTTAATAAACATTCAAATTGTAAAGTTTTATATCATTTATTTGATATAGTCAATTTGAAAATTCTAGAAGTTTTAAAATATTATAATTTATATATTTAAAATTAATAAAGAGTTTAAAATAACACGGACAGATTATATGACCGGACGGGTTGAAATACGGGACGATTTCGATCGATATTACTAAGAAATCAAAATATTATTAATCTCATACTTCAATATGGGTAAAATCTTCATTTTATAAATTTTAACAACATCAATATAGACCATCTATAATTTAAATAATTATGGAAGTGAAAGTTTAACTTAATATAAAAAGCTTAAGTTTTTGTAAGTAAATGAATGGTAAATGAGGTAAAGAGCATGTATGCACGGATGAATACAAATTTTTTATGCTTATGTTTTTTTTTTCCTTGGAGTGCAAATGAATTTTGCTAGGGAAATAGCTAAATGACAAATATTAAGAGTTACAAAATAAAAGATACGAAGCCATATATATACCAATAATTGTCACACTTTTAAAAGTCATAAAACATGTCATTTGGCTGATAGCAGCTATCCCCGGACCATACAGTGCATGTTATGTGATTGGGTTCGAAAGACTATTTATAGTGCACTCTGAAGTATTTAGTCACAAGTGTAACTACATCATACACATCTACCTTTTGATATAAACATTAGTTATTTGGCAGAACCACGCTTTTGCTTTACCCATACCCATAGGATCTGCTCGCTATCAGAATTTTGGACAGCGGTAAGAGATGGATATGTACTCATGACATTTTGTTTTTGTTTGTGTTTCTTGTAAGTATGTCACTTCACTACTTGAGCACTACTCCAAATTGTTTGATACCACTTGGATATATTCTAGTGCTACTTTAATTTGGTGCCACTTCGTCTTATCATTGGGTTTTTGATGCTGACTTGTAGTTGTTGGTAAATCCTGGTATAGAAATTAATTACTAATCTCAAAGTTTATATATTGGTGAAAAATACGCCGCGATTTAGCGAAATTATTGGCAAAAATTTTGGTGACAAAATTTGATGTGGCTACTTCTTTACATGAGTTTCTTTTTTTTTAACACTGGAATCCATTAAAATTTGTTGTGGCTAATGCATGTAATTAGCAAGTTTCTAAGGGTTAAAAGAAAAAAAAATGTGTAATAAGCTAAGAAATAATCTTTAGTGAAGGATTTTAGAAATCTATTCTTACATATATGTGTCCACTTCAGATTGAATGGAGCAAAGAAAGTAAGCAAAAATATTGCATGCCCTTATAAAAAAAACCATATAATCTTAATAATATAATTCAGCTTTAAGCTCTAGCCAAAATAATAGTTTACATTGCACGTTTTTGGTGTGGTTTTGACATATATGGCTCTGAATGGTCGATACTATGATCCAAACTTTAGAGTGGGCCGGGGACATGTGGTGCTTACTGATTATGATCCCAAAAGAAGAGTGGAGACACACTGCTCCGATTGAGACATCCGGTATAGCTTCCGTGCATCATAGCAAATCATTTACTTGAAAGAATCTATCTCTGGCAAGGGCAAAAGCGATAGGCCAGATTAACGAGGAAAGATTTTACAATACATTATTGATTTTGATTACATATTTTTATAAGTACTAATAGATCACTTTCCTACTTTTGCTACTATAAATACTCTTCTACTACGATGGGTTTATTAGTCTTATGAGTCAAACTGAAAGTCCCAAACGATGGAACTCAATTGTGTTCAATTTCTTGAAAACAAGACGATTCTAGTCACCGGCGCTACCGGTTTCCTTGCCAAAGGTATGCATGTATGTTTGATTTTTGTTAATTCACCATAAATTTATGTTTAATATTTTACCAATTAAGATTGGTTAGAGTGATGGGTGACTTGGTTTGTGCTTTGTTAAGACAATATCAGAGTTAGATTACCAGACTCTCTCCGTTTCAGTTTAAGTGTCGTTTTATAAAGTTTAAAATGTACTTGTTTTAGGTTTTCGATCTATACTGTTATAAATATTTTAACTTTAAATATTTTTATAATAAATTTATCAATAAAACATAATTATAGTATATTAGCAAAAGGTAAAACAATTAATTATTTTTCCGTCATAATTATAATATCTTAAACGGTATTTTTAAATGGAGGAAGTATAATATTTCCGCCTTAAAGCATGATTACTTTTGATGTATTTTTCTTACCGAATATAAATATATATGTTTCTTTTATTATTATTTTTTGATATTTATTAGTTTTTGTGGAGAAAATTTTGAGAGTGCAACCAGTGGCGGATGCAGAATTTCTTTTTACCTGGGGCACTAAATTTTAAGATGAAAAATATACTTTCAATTTATCAAAAAAAAAATATTAATATTTTCTTATTTATATTTTCTTATTTATATTTTCTTATTTAATATATATATTTTTTTAGATATTTAGATTTACTTATCTAACCATATCACACAAACTTAAACACTAAAAATAATATATTATATATATATATAATATTAATTACTATGATAATATTCTTAATGTTACTAATTTGCTAATTTTACTATCAATTTTATAAATAAGATATGTGTATACTATACAAAAAAATATGAACTAGTTTTTCTAAAATTAAACTGGAAAAAGAAAATATAAATATCTAAAATTGATAAAAGCATATAATTTTATAGTACTAATGAGCAAAAGGAGGCTCAAAAGGAGGCTCAAACTGACGTTAGTAATGCTGAAAAATTAAGGAAATAGTACTAATGAGCAAAAGGGGCTCGAACTCACGTTGGTAATGCTCAATAGCTGTCTATATGCCAGTTGAGCTAACTGTCAAATTAGCATATAAATACTTGTTAAATGTTAAAAAGTAGTATGGGGCACGTGCCCCACCTACTTACTGCCTGGGTCCGCCCCTGAGTGCAACCAAATGTGAAGAAGTTGTACCTTTTGGTGAGAGCATCAAACGACGAAGCTGCGACTAAACGCTTACGCACCGAGGTTTTTTTACATACCAACTAATCCTAATTAACTACCTAATATTTCAAGAAACATATCATAGTACGTAGAGTACATTAATGTTGTATCATTCTGATTTGTTACAGGTATTTGAGAAAGATCTTTTTAAGGTGTTGAGAGAGAATCTTGGCGATGAGAAGTTAAATAGATTGTTGTACGATAAAGTTGTCTCAGTCCCTGGTGATATTGCTACTGATGAACAATTAGGCATGAATGACTCTAATCTTATAGAACGTATGCAAAAAGAAATAGATATTGTCGTCAATGTTGCAGCCACAACAAACTTTGACGAGAGGTATATAGAGCTTTACAAGACATTTTATAATTTTTAAAATTATATTTTTAATGAAATATATATATTTAATAAATTCGCATGAAAAAAAGATATGATGTTGGGCTTGAAATCAACGCTTTTGGAGCTCTCAACATCCTTAACTTTGCCAAAAAATGTGTTAGAGCTCAATTGCTTCTCCATGTCTCTACTGGTAAGTTTCTTTGTTGTTTATATTATGCTGTAAAAATATTATTAAATTTAAATTCTTTCGTTGTTTTACATATATGGTTCTTTAAAACATAGATTTATTGTTCTATTCTAGCTTATGTTTGCGGAGAAAAGCCGGGTTTCCTACCTGAAAACCTAATTTTCTTGGAAGATATTCGTAACGAGGACGGTCTTCGACTGGATATAAACTTTGAAAGGGAACTGATGAAGGAAAGATTGAAAGAACTCAAAGAACAAGATTGTTCCGAAGAAGACATTACTCTTGCCATGAAAGAACTCGGAATGGAAAGGTGAATGTTGTTGATAATTGAAAACAACTCCTAGTTTTAACAATCAAAATGGAAGAAAGTATAATTTGTTGATCATTAGGGCTAAGCTTCATGGATGGCCAAATACATATGTTTTCACCAAATCAATGGGAGAGATGCTTCTTGGTAACCATAAAGAAAATCTTCCTCTAGTCATCATCCGTCCTACGATGATCACTAGCACTTTTTCGGAACCATTTCCCGGTTGGATCGAAGGATTAAGGTAAATTTATACCATTTTTAGACTGCATGAACTTGAAAATTCATGATATTATGTTGTATGTGCAGAACCATAGATAGTGTGGTTGTAGCATTTGGCAAAGGAAGGCTTAAATGTTTTCTTGCAAATCCAAACTCAGTCCTTGATCTTGTAAGTTTACGTCAATTAATATATTGTGCGTTTGGGTTTATATAAATACAAAGTAAAATTAAATTTAACATTTTCAAAAGATTAAACATTTTCTTTTATATTTTTATAAAATCAAATATGGCTGTCTAAACGCCAAATACAAACAGATTTTTGTTTGTGATTATTATAAGCGATATCAGTCATTGTTGTGCACTGAGAGTAATATTCACAGATACCTGTGGACATGGTCGCAAATGCAATGGTCACGGCTGCGACAATACACGCAGGGAACTTAGGCTCTCAGACCGTGTATCATGTTGGCTCATCTTTTAAGAACCCTATCACATTCGAACAGGTTCACGATCTCGCGGCTCGCTACTTCACTATAAACCCTCTTGTTGGACGCGATGGTTCACCCATCATAGTCTCCAAAGGAACTATCTTTTCCACCATGGCTCAGTTCAGCTTCTACGTGACCCTTCGTTACAAGCTACCTTTAC